TGTGCACCATGCCTCTAGTAAAAATATATTGCCTAGAGTCTTTTTTGTGTGTCAACGTAAGTAGAAGCACCCAGAACCTAGGGGTCTGAATTAGAACACCATGCCATGATTACCTCAGTAGAATAAAACCTTCAGCACAAGAATAACTTATTTTAAAACAAACTCTAGCTGAAGATATCAGAAGCCAAGTCATTTGTCCACCTTCCATGGAATACTTTGTATGCTTTTCTCATACTGCTGATATAAAAATGATACTGTTACCCAAATGGAAATCTTCTATCCTCATCAGCATCTGAAATAGGTGGCCATTGGTTTGCTTTTCTTTGATTAATGCTATTATGTGGTATAAATTACCTTCATAATCATTGTGGGGTTTTTTTTTATTCTACTGAAAACATGATGAAGAGCATAATAAAATGTTTTAGGTAAACAATGATTATTCTCTTATTCTTAAGAGAATAAGAGAATGATTATTCTCTTATTCTTAAGAATAAGAGAATAATCATTGTTTACCTAAAACATTTTATTATGCTCTTCATCATGTTTTCAGCAACAACTGTAGGATGTTGAGTGAATTGGAGGAGGCATGTTTTTAATTCAGAGCCACAAATAACTACATGAGGTAAATGATGAAAAGTTGGGACTTAGAGAAGAGATGCTGGCATCCATTGGGGGAAGAGTACCGTGGACTCTTTGCATTTCGATGTGCCTGGTGAACTGTGAAAAAGCTCCAGAGGCCCACTGCAGACCTGAAACAGTCTTTGGGGATGAGGCCCTGCATTTTTAACAATCATCCCAAGGACTTGGGCCATGAACAAGATGTTATATTTTATACTTGGAATGCTCAAACTTTAAACATGTTCCCAAGGAGAATGCTAACAAAAGCTAAACATTTCTCATGTTTTAATTTCTCTGTTGGGTTATCCTGAACTCTGAATAAGAGTACATATCTTTTTGTGATGAACTGATTAACTGATTGATTGTTTGGTTGACTCATTCATTCATTCATTCATTCATATAACAGCTATTGGGCATCATTCATGAGCTTGGACTCCTCTGGTGTGGACCTTTTTTGGTTGTTGATCAGATAGCAGTTAGATATCAAAGATTTCCCTCACATTACTTTTAACTTGAAAGATGTCCAATAGTTCTTCATTGGATATTGTTGAATAAATAAAAGAATGAATGCATTTAAGGATCCTTTTTGCACCATAAAAAAATTACTGTGTTTCTGTGTCTCTTGACACTAAGTCAAATACTTTCATAATGAAGCAGGGCCTGGAATAAAAACCTCAGTTCTTTCCAGTACTTACAGATTTTTAACAATTTCTTAAAATAATTCAAAAATAAAAAGCTGCTTGGAAATTACAAAAAGGCATCCCAAGGTCACAAAATAAAATTCTAAAAGCCACTGTTACTGATATTTAAGACTTTTGCTCCTCATTAGAGAAAACCAAGAAAGCTGACTTTTTACAATGTAGCAAGTCTTTTAAAAGATATCCAACAAAGAATGGATAATATGAATATTGGTATAAAGCTCATGTGTCTATTTCTCACACACACACACTGTCCCAAAAATGTATACACACACTTTGAATGATTATAAAGGCAGTGTTTATTAAAATACATTTCATTTTCAAAATTGAGTTATCAGCTGCTAAAGTGTGTATGCATTTTTTGGGGGACACCAGCATATAAAATAAACTTTCAAAAGCTTGTGGCTGGCATTAAAAAGAAGAAAATTCCCTAAATGTCCCCAGAATGTTCTAACTGGAAGTGATCTTAGAGATTATCCAGTACAACCCCCTAATTTTATGTGTGGAATATGAAGTTCAGAGAACATGAGAAATTTGACTCAAGCTCACTCACCTAATTAACAATATCACTAGCACTAATCCTTGGATTCCTACTTTCCAATTTAACCTTTTTTTATAGAATCACATTGGGTGCTGTAAATACATGTCAGTTCATCCAAGCAATTATATAAGAACCAGAGGCTGATAAATCTATGATACTTTTAAATTTATTTATTGTCTAATAAGTTGTAGCAAAAAGAAGGAAGTGGCAAGACAAATCAGCCATTATTTTAACTGATTTAAATTCTTTTCCACCTCCAAAGGAACTCAAAATTCAAACATGTACTTCAGAGTTCCTTGAGGGAAAAAAAAATAGAGTATAGATTTAAACCCCAATAACTAAACACGTGGCCAATTAGCAAATAAGTGTGTGCACTCATTGCCATGTCGTTTAGACTCCAATCTGGAGTGCAATTAGCATGAGAGGAAGTAACCTGAAGATATGAATGTCTAAAATCCCAAGTGCTGAGCAGGAAGACATGCCCCTGAGCCTCACAGTGCAATAGCCTAACAGGTTGTAACGGTGACACTGGATCAGATCCAGTTAACCAGAAGAAGACAGGAAGCCGCCCCACCACCAGGCATTGAGAGAAGTGGGATTCAGGTTAAAAGGAAATGAAGTCAACACAGCAGAAGTCATTTGTTGTGACTATTGCGAAATATGACAGACAAAATACACAAAGCAGCTCCTCCCAAAAGAAAAATAAAACCAAACGACAAGAGGTTTCACTATAACTAAACATCATACCAAATATAGTTAATTACAGACTACCTAAAATTGTGAGAGGACTCATTTTTAGAAGAGTTCTGACCACTCAGATCAGCCTTTGAGAGAGATTCTTTTAAAGAGATTTCAATAGAGATTTTTCTCAGCTTTTTAAATGTCATCTCCTATTAATAATTAATTCACTAAAGTTCATCTCAGATGGTCTGTTTGGTTCCCATTAATCAATCAACAATTATGCATTATGGGCCCAGGGTTTGCCTCAGAAAGGCTGGGGGTGGAGTTCACATGTTGAGCATCAGATGATGTTTAAATATTTAAAATTTCTTAAGTTTCCTCCCAATTTATCTGCAAACAGCATTAGTTAATGAATGAACAAGGGCAACTGTGCAATGACAAACCACACACAGGTCACGGTGTACCTCTCTCTAGCACACAGCAGAGTCCTTCGACCACAGAGGGCACGCAACTAGGTTTCAAAGTCCTTCCTGGGTCCTACTTGCAGTAATCTCTTAATTAGCAGCCTTTTCCAAAATGTTTAATGAAAGGCAAGGCATAAGCCTAAAACAAACAAAACGTTAAAGAGCATACAGGAGCCAAAATGTGCTTCCTCCTCTTTGTATTGTCACCTGCATGGGAATGGGAGAGTGACCTAGTGTTTTAAAATGGGATTCTGAGTTCATACCCCACTGGAACATCCCACCTTTGTGAACTTGAATAATTATGTCACATCTCTACCCCTAAATTTATTGCCCTGTAAAGTAGAGTTAATAAGAGCATCTTGCCAGGCCGGCATAGCTCAGTGGTTGAGCATCAACCTATGAACCAGGAGGTCACAGTTCGAAGCTCAGTCAGGGCACATGCCTGGGATGCCAGCTTGATCCCCACTTTGGGGGTGTTCAGGAGGCTGCCAATCAATGATTCTCTCTTATCTATCTCTCCCTCCCTTCCTCTCTGAAGTCAATAAAAATGAATCTTAAAAAAAATTAATAGGGTCTTCCCTTCCTCTCTGAAATCAATAAAAATGTATCTTAAAAAAAATTAATAGGATCTTCCTTATAAGCTTGTTTTTTTTTTTTAAATATATTTTATTGATTTTTTTTACAGAGAGGAAGGGAGACAGATAGAGAGTTAGAAACATCGATGAGAGAGAAACATCGATCAGCTGCCTCCTGCACACCCCCCACTGGGGATGTGCCCGCAGCCAAGGTACATGCCCTTGACCGGAATCGAACCTGGGACCCTTCAGTCCGCAGGCCGACGCTCTATCCACTGAGCCAAACCGGTTAGGGCTCATAAGCTTGTTTTGAATATTAAATGTGTGATGCTTGTGAGGGGTTGACTCTGCATTTGGTAGATAACAAATATTCAATAAGTATTAACTATTATTATTGTCATCAAAATGATGGTACAGTTATAACTATTCTGAAATCTGAGATCCTTTGTAAAGCTTGCAATGAAACTTAATAAACAAGAACTTGGTGCTTATTAAATAAATTCTTGCTAAACTTATAAATGATTAGTGTCAATTATATTCACACAAAAGCCTTATTTTGCTGCTTTCTCTATAATTAAAACATGCAAAACTTCTCTTCACTCAGCATGGCCTCATCTGAACCAGGGACAAGAGGAAAAGGTCATTTTGTTTTTTATTTGGACACCAAAGCCAGGTTTTAGAGTTTCAATGGACAGTAATGTTGCCATTTTTCCTGCATCTATATAGTTCACCAAATCTATCGATTTACAGCCATGCTGAAACTCGGAACAACTACTTCAATGTAAGATTTATATCTTTAATTTCTTTTTCATGTAGCAATAGCAAAGCAGGAACATCTGATCATCCTTGACTCTGAAACTCAGATCATCACACAATTTCCAATTAAAAATGTTTATGGGCGTGCACTTCATCAACAAAGCTGCCCTGCTATTCCAACCAAAATATAGCGAAGCTTATGAGGCCATCTGCAATGATAAACTTTAAAATGCTTTATAGATAGTAACTAAATAACATCTTTATGAGAACAAGTATCAGGGGATTGATCAAATTTGTTCTTAATAACAACAGCGATAAATATTTAAGAAACATTTGCTGGGTGCCAGGCATTCTTTCTTCTCTTTGAGGGAAGTTGCCATTATTACCTCCATTTCAAAGACGAGGAAACTGAGGCACAACAAAGTAACAGACAGTCTGACCCCAGGGTCCAAGCTCTTACCCATTAATCTACACATGGACGTTGTGGCTTTCCTGAATGTTACGTTCCTCAAATATAGCATGCCCATATTCTAGTAAAATGCTCCAAGCATTAAACCAAAACCTCTGCTTCGAAATTTTTTTTAACTTTTATGACAATGAAAGAAATAAATAGCACATTTTGCAAATTAGAATAGAGAACGTAAAGAAACCAGCTCATCATTCCTACCTCAAGTCTGTCTGTCCGCATTAATTTCTGTGCTGCAGCTGCAGCAGCTGCAGGGACAGGAACCCCAGGGTTCCCTGTGACCAACATGGGTGCAGTCGGCAAGATCTCTGCTGGAACCAGGCTTGGGGAGACAGGTCCCAGGTAGGGATTAAAGGCTGCTGATGCATTGGTGGCTAAGCTGGGTGCAACTGAAAACATTGGCTGAAAAATAAAGTAAGAAGAAAAATTTAATATGAAGGTCCTGGTTGAAAGTTTGATATCCTACATTATATATATATATTTCCATCCATCCACCCCCCTCCCCCAACCTCCATCCATCCATCCATCCCCAATCTATTCTTCTCTTTCTCCCTCCCTACCTCCCCTCCATTTAAGTCTGTGTTTATTAACTCTTATTCAGGATAAGGATGATTCTTAAATAAGCATTGATCAAACCAATGTTTTTCTAAAATACAAGACGTAACCTGCCGCTACATTTTCCACTGGAATCTTAAAGCCTGGGGTCTCTAATACTTGCAATTTCTTTATGAACAATAGATCAAGAACTCAATAGGGAAACTTCCTGTGGTTTTCTACATTCCATCTTTGTCCTGATTGAACCCTAGACACGTATCTAAGAAATACATTTCATAATTACTATGTCAGATGTTCTTGAAGGATCTGTTTACAACTGTTAATAGGTTGCAAGTGTTCTATTATCTGGAATAAATAAAGCAGAACTCTCAGTGGATAGCTAAGTTTCACAGTCAATGTAAACTGTGAATAAACCTCATGTGGTCACGGAAAGGTGAGGATGGCACCATTCCTTGTGGGCACACAAGATAAAGCATTTGGCATATTCACCAATTGCAGGTTTTTCTGGGGAAATTATAAACTGCATCAGCCTATCACGCTCTTGTGAGGCATTTAACAGGGAATTCACCTTACGAGGGGAGAACCATTGGAAAATGGGAAATCTGCAACAGAACACCTCCAACTAAATGCTAAGTGATTCTTCAGGGGAACACCTATGGCCACACTAAGGAAAATGTGACAAGACTGAATTTCTGCCAGAAATGCTTTCATGGATACATGAGAATGGTTTCTATTTGTTGGTATAAAAATGTGCATATCAGGAAATATATCTGTTCTTGATGGAATTAAGCAATTTACCTGAAATCTACTCAAGCAATTTTCTTTTCCAATTTTAAAAGCATAACCGAGCACAACAATTTCCCATGTGATTGAGGATACATTTTCAACTTCCTGATTCAATGGAGTTTCAATTCTTGAAGTTTAAGGCTTTGTGTAATAGTAATGTTTGTCTCTAAAACACAAAAACTGATGGACAAAATGGAGCCTATTCTTGAAAGTAATTTTTAACGATTCACTTCCTTTTACCCTGTGGTATGGAACAGGTTCAGAGAAATTTTTTTGTAGAATAAAAGGACATTACAATGTAGCGATTCTTCCCTCTGAAAGATGATCCTGAGTTTATACAGTGTTCAAGAGAAACTTGGAACAAATTTTTAATGCAATTAAGATGTATGTTACAGAAGTAATTCTTATGGTTCAAAAGAAACATGTTAAAAAAATACAACATTTCCTTTATCTAGTCTGTTCCTGCCCCATCCTGTATTTGTGAGGGAGCCCAAGTATTCCCTTGCTCCTAGGACAGTTCTCAACGATGGGTGATTTGGCCTCACAGGGACATCTGGCAATGTCTAAAGACGTTTCTGGTCGCCACAGCTGGAGGGTGCTAGTGCATCTAATGGGTAGAGTCCAGGGGTTCTGCTAAGTGCCCCATAACACATGGGGCAGCCCCTTCCAACAAAGGTTTATCCCGCCCCAAATGTCAGCAGAGCTGCGGTTGAAAATCTCTGTCCCAGGGATGCACTCTGTTCTCGACCTCACACATTGTTTTAGGACAAAATCTTTTGTGCATGCAGCTAACGCACACAAACTTGGTAAGAAAACCGTGAAAAGTAGAATATTTAATACATAAGGTGATTCACTTGGCAGAAGAAACGATACACCATGGATTCCTCTGGTATGTTCAAGTGAAAACGATGATGCCTCCGAATGTGCTGGCTTCAATGCCATGGTTAGCTGCCCTGCCAGATCGATGGCTCTTGCGTGAGGAAGTGGCCTGAAGTAATACCTCCCACCCGCAGGCCCATCCCTGCCCAAAGCAGCTACGCTACGTGCTGACAACAAGAAACTATCCAGCATTCCAGATATTAACAATCCGTACCCTGCCTGAAGCTGGGCCCTGGGCAATCTCTGCCCACCAACGGATATTGAACAGCAGCTGATTTTACGCTGATTCACTGTCTACCGGCTGCCAAGGCAGCAGCAGGACAAGGGTTGACTGGCACGGCAAATACATGCTGAACTTGGATTTCTACTCCGAAATATTCAGGTAAACATACACTGCTACATACTTGCAGATACAATATGTAAAATTTCAGCCACACCAGCCATCTATTTTTCCTATTAGGTATTTAATAATTATTTTTTTAAAAAATTAGCACTGAAGACTAAAAGACTAGCTTGGAAATGTGGAGAACAGACGCCAGGTAATAGCATTCCTCTTCGTATTCTATTGCTACGAAGGAACATGTATTTCCAGACAGAGCGTGTTTGAATGCATGCTTCAGAAAGTTACTGAGATGCTCATGTCACGGTACACAAGCCACTATAATTATTTAGAAGCAGAGGTCCAATTTACAAACTCATTTGGAGGGAAGAAAAGCATTCATATTTTAAGAAAATAAGACCAGTGGCCAATAAAATTCAGCTTTGTTAAAGCTCATTGAATAAAATAAACATAAAATCTACAATGCCTAGAATACAGAAGTTGCCTATTAAAGGGAAAGGAACGCTTTTATTACATAAAAGTATGGCAACAATTTTCCTGCCGGACTGTTCCTATAGAGTTGTCATGTGAATTGATTTCTGGATTTGATCCAGCAGAACAAATTCAAATCTGGTGAATTTTAGGATACTCTCCCCAAGTATAATCTGCAGCAGCTTTTAAAAACCTGAAACATCAACTCTTCAACAAGCATTAACTCAAATTGCTCCCTCTCCAGATAAGTGGTGCTATTTGCTAAACAGTCAGGCAATCAATAATAATAGCTCTATGCTTTGAAATCTGATTCCAAAAGCTGCTTTAAAAACAACAAAAAAAGTACAACATTCCTTCATTTCTTTTGAGTTTTTTTCTGGTAAATCTGTTACATCCTTTTTCAAAGAGCACCTTGCTGGAAGAAGGTCACCGCTGGACCCACCAGTGCCCTAATCTGATTAGTAAAGAACTTGAACTGCTACACAGCTGATTCTCCATCCAAAAGCTGCCCTGACAGGGTTCAGCAGAATCGCATGGACGGATATTAACGCAATGGAGGTATTGAGCGGCATCCTATTTTCTCTGAAGTATCCACGGGATAATGCATAACTACATAATCGGTGCCTTCGATACTAACTGCAGCCTTGTAACGATGATTTGCAGATACTGTGCTTCGGGGAAGGCATCAGGAAGGTTGGCTTATTATTGTCTTTTGTCTGTGAACACCCTGAAACTAATTGCAAGCTTAGGAATGCTTGGATGGGCTAATCATTTGTTTGTTTTCAAAGAGCCATTCTGATTCCATTAAGGTACTTGAGCTTTGTTATAAATGAAAATGTTATTTAATGTCACATTATGACCATTGTTAAATGTGTGCAAACATGGTTATTAGCATAATTCCCTCTCCTTATTGTGTGCCAGGCATGTGCTTGGCGCTTTACCTGTGTTCCTGCATTTAATCCTCATAACAGTAGAGTGTAAACTTCAGGGGACGAACAAAAACAAAACTCCACTGCTTTGGTTTTAAGATGGGGATGGGGGATACCTGTTTAATACACTACTAAATGCTCAAAACATAGAGCAATGCCTGGCACACAGCAGGCACTCAATATACACTGAATAAGTGCTTGAGTGGGTGAATGCATGAGTGCGTGGATGAATTACAGCCTTGGCAGGTGGGTATTATTAGTCCCATTTTGCAGATAAAGAAGAAGTCTCTTGGAGATTATGGGCCCCAAAAAACCTAGGATATGGACACAAGTGTGTCTTGCTTCCAGGTGGTTCTGAAAATAGGGGTTCTCTGTGCAGGCCGCCCATCAGAATTACCTAGAGTTTTCTATCCAGCATGCCCTGCCCCTCCCCCTCATCGGACTCTCTGGGAGATGTAGGAAGGCAGCAGTGTTTTTTAAATGCTCCTGGATGATTCCAATTCCAGACACGAAAGGGCCTTCTACTACTATTTAAAAACAGAGATAGGTTCCATGGTCTGATTCTATGTGCGGTCGCTAAGGACTCATGTTCCCTTCTGACTCTCTTCTTCTGAACATGGTTTTCCCTGCACATTGAAGGATGCTCCTGCCCAGCCCACCTATTTAATTCCTAATCATGCTTCAAGAATTAGGGCTCTTCCTTGTTGAAGTTGTCCCAGATCCACCCACACCTCCAACTCTAAACAGGCGTTTCCTGCCCTCTGCTCTCCTAGATCCTCATCACTCAGGGCCAGAGGGCAGCCTTGGGTCCTGTGTTTTGTACATTTTGTATAGATCCTGCAGTTGGCATCTACACAGGTCCTCAGTAGACATTCATTTAACAAGTATATCAATGGATGTGCTGTTTTCCTCTGTCAAAGAAATTAGTAAATGCATTAAAGGTTTTCTAGAAATAGAAATTTAAACATTAAAAAAGAGATTTAATGTCATCCATTTCTCTAATACGCTTGTTAGAAAAGTTTAATTTCTTTTTTTTTTTTTGGTTTTGCAACTTCTAATACTGAATTTTTCTAAGTTATCATTTTCCCATGCTGTAATGTTGCAAATATCATAGGAGCCCTAATTTATTTTAAAATGTTATGTGAGACAGTGTTTGTTTTGCAGACAATGTTGGCAAGTTTTAATAAAATGGAGGGAGTACATACAATAAATAATACATAATTGGTATATGCTGGCATTTACAGAACACAAATTTTAAGTCAGATCTGTCTAGATGTTACGTGTGTGTGTATCTGTGAAGGTCAAACTTGCAAGCAGTAAACCATAAAGTGTTTTTAAAAAATTAACAGCATAATCGAGGTATATGAAACCAGATTCTTGTATAACCCTGTATAAAAGCTATAAACAGCCTTTGTAAACAATTATTTTGAATATGAACATAGAGCCAAAAGCTGATGGGAGTTATCAACACATATCCCATTACAATGCCTTTTTTCTAAGAAAGTAGCAGACAACTACAATCAAAGCAATCCTATTTTAAACTCTGTTTCTAGACTGACTTGCTGATTGGGCAAATCAAATGACCATTTGCTTTATCCTGAATTTCACTTTCTCTTTCAATCCAATTTTTTCTCAACATTTAAATAGAGAAGACTCGCTTCTAACTCTCCGAGGAGAAAGGTAGCAACAAATATGCCGGTCCCTAGGATTTGGGGCCCATTTTCAAGCTGCTTAAGGAAGTGCAGGCTCCTTGACTGAGAAGGGCAGATGCCCTGGCCAGGTGGCGCAGTTGGTTGGAGCATCATCCCATACACCAAAAAGGCTGCGGGTTTGATTCCCGGTCAGGGCACATATCAAGGTTTTGGGTTGTATCCCTGGTCAGGGCAGGTTCAGGAGGCAACCAAGGGATGTTTATCTCTCACGTGGATGTTTCACTCTCTCTCTCCCCCTTCCTCCCACTCCAAACAATAAAAACATATCCTCGGGTGAGGATTTAAATAAAAAGGTTAGATGTATGAAATATGATTCAGGGTGACTAACTTGGAAACATTTTGCCAGAAACACTTTGGGATAAAGTGGCCTTATCTCAACCACCAGTTGGATAAACTGCAAAGGAAAGTCCTAAAATACAATTGAAGAATTTCAGGTGTTGCTGAAAATGTGACAAATGATGACATCAAAGCTTTCAGCATCAAACTGCCAACAACCGCTGGGAACCCGAGTGGAGAGCAGAGACAGGTGACAGAAGCAGCAGAGAAGCTCCCGAGACCTGAGCTAAGTGCAGGAACTCTGAAGTCCTCTGTGGCTACCCTGCTTCCGATGCATGAAATTCACGGGAATTCGACGCGAGTCAGGGACCTCAACAGGGCCTTCAAGTGTGTGCCTTCAAGGCAGCTGTTCTGGGACATTATGGGTGGCCAAGCCTAACCTTTGGGAGCACAGGGTAAGGCGCCTGAGACCACTGCTAGCTCTCCGAGGGCAGTGACGAGAGCCTGAAAGATATCTTTCAGGAACGGACCAAAGAACTCTATCAGATGCCTCCAAGTTGTAAACCACAAGGTGCCATCTACTTCCCGTTAGGCTGTTTAGTCACTTCTCATTAGATTGCCTTTGCATCAGACAGTGCATGGCAAAGTAAAAAAAAAATTAAAAAAAAATTAAATTTAAAAATTAAAGTGGCACTTAGGAAATAAATCTAAATTTGGATAATTAGATACTATAGGTCTTCCATTTATCTTCCAGTTACAGAGCTAGTCAGCAGCAGGGCCAGTCATATTAATTAATCTCTCCGAACCTCTGAGGCTTCATCTGCAAATCTGGGATAATACTACCTACTTAATAGGATGGTGGTGAGGATTTATGATACCAAAAGTACTGAGTTCAGTAATCGCACGCATGGTATTGCATTTGCCCCCAAAACGTCAAGTCCTCTTTCTGATTCTTGGCTGGGTGCCTTTCACTACAATTTAATAAAGTCCATACAAACAAGAAACTCTCCTATAAATCCCTGCACTCCCCAAGTCAGCCCAGTGTCAGGTTCCAAAGACCCTCCATGTATACACCAGGTCTCTTAAGATTTATGAGAAAACGAGAACCCAAACGGAGTGACATACAGCCATTTCCCGGTCCCCAAAGGGCCCTCATGCAGCCCCTGGCTGCCTCTGAAACCGTCTGCTACGAAGTAGCCCCCTCCGGCCCCCTTTCGGTGCGGCAGAGTCTGGGCTGGGGCTCTGGGGCCTGGTTGCAATTCCTCTGGACGCCGGGGAAGGTCAACCACCATGAACCTCTGTCTCTTTTTCTTGTGTTTGGAAAGCTCCTTCCCTCATTCACTCTTTCACTCACCCAAGCAATGGTTTGTTCTCTGTGACGTGCCAGGCACAACACTAGATACTTCTTTTTTTAAAAAATATATTTTTACAGAGAGGAAGGGAGAGGCATAGAGAGTTAGAAACATCGATGAGAGAGAAACATCGATCAGCTGCCTCCTACACACTCCCTACTGGGGATGTGCCTGCAACCAAGGTACATGCCCTTGACCGGAATCAAACCTGGGATGCTCTATCCACTGAGCCAAACTGGTTAGGGCAACACTAGATACTTCTGAATCTGATTGGACCTTGCTAAGCCTTTGCCCAATCCGTGTTCCTCCAACCACAGTTTGGGGGCCCAACTGGTTGCCCTTAGATTAGAAAACTAAGAGGCTTCACTTGTGTGACTGCAAGCCCCGTCGCTGCTCAGACACTGCTGATGCTCCTGATGGTGGGGACCTGCTCGCAGCATTATCTCCTTGGAGATCCCCACCACCTGGGTAGGATCCAAGTTTATGCCATCCCCGCAAACACTATCGGCTGGCCAGCCTCTGGGAGTGGTTTCTCCATATTTGCCACCTGCTGCTTCCAGCCGGTTAGCTTCCCTATTTGTGGGCCCAGCATTAAAGTTCCAGTAGGCAGCTGGTTAGGACCATCTCACTTATTTCTGAATCTCCATGTTATTATCTTCATTAAAACAGGGCTGATTACAGGGATCAAAACATCTCCGGTGAGATTTCGAAGCAAATTTCCCAGATTAAAGCCTTCTCTGTAGCCATTAAAAGCCATTCCTATTAGCAAATGCTTTAAAACTGAATATTTAAAATGACTGCTGTACTTATTACAAAAACGTCACTCTGCATAGAGTATATTATTTCTAGACTGACCTCACAATGCCTCTAGCAAAAGGGTTATTCCACTTTCAAATCCAGGAACCAGGGAAATTAACATAACATAACATAACATAACATAACATAACATAACATAACAACATCTGGGGGGGGGGGCAGGGAAGGGAGTGGAAGAGGGCATAGAGGGGATGAATGGTGATGGAAAATAACAAATGAAAATAAAAGTGTTTAAAAAAAAGAAAAGAAAATTAATGCTTTGTCTAGGCTGAGAATTTTCCAACAAAATCACCAGAAAATGTGGTGATTTGTCTAATGGTTCCAGAAACCTGTGCTTTAGTGATTGCCTAAGCAATGCATATTTGTTACTAGTATTTCAAAGCCATGGGCATAAATGTTGCTTATAGTTTGTGCCAGGATTACGATGTGATGACCCTGGAAACGACCTTGAGAGTATAACTCAAGGACGAACTCAGTAGAGGAACCGCCAGGACCAATGCTGCTCTTTGCAGTCTGGGAACCACACTGCGGCTCTCAGAGGCACGCTCGGTCACTGAGCGGGTAGATACGCTTTAAATGTTTAAGTGGAACAAAGTACCTCAAGGAGAGATCTTATATCAAGGAAAGTAGTAGCTACCACAAGGATTTATCGGATCTTTGAAGCTACCTATGTGAGGGCTAAGTGTAACAGAGAAGTCTTATCCAATATTTTATGCTGGAGAGAAAAACACTTTTTTTTTTAAACCAAATGAACGAGTTTATGCTATCCCAAAGCAAACATGTAAAATTAGCAGGTACCATAAAAAATAAATTTAAGATATCATATTTTAAACTGAGCCCCCAAATAATGAAAAAATATATGTATCAGATTAAAACAGACACAGAATTACAATATTATCTCACCTCAACTGTATAGAATTGATAATTGGTATCACTGCCGATGTGATATGGAGATCCCTCCCACCTCGAAATGCAATCCCCCCCTCTTTTTTGGAATGATTGGTGCATTAAGTTCTAAGAGAGAATAACAATTACATTGAGTTCAGGTGTTAAAATGTATTAGGAAAAAAATTAGTTAGCACACTGCTACAGCTAGCATATCAGAAAAATTCGGGTCTTCACATTCCCATGACCCCAAAATACTACATAAGTTAGTGACATAAATTACTGACAGATATAATCTTATCACTGCAAATTTCAACATACGTTTTAAACACAGAATTACCATATCACAATGAATATCAGAACACCTTTTGCAACCTATAATTATGACATTAATCTCTTACATTTCTATGAACAAATGTGAGTAAAGGTTATTGAAATCATTTACCTTCTACACCCTCCAAAAATCCAAATAAATAAATAAATAGATGTGCTCAGATTCAAATGTTATCCCCCTACGCTGCTCAGTAAACATTAAATCCCCATGACCCCCTACAGCTTCTAATATTTAAGTCTTTTCTTAAAAGTCCTTGGAGTTTCTGCCTCTCCTGATAATTTCTACTTTTATGAGACTTCCGCATCCATATTGATTCACCACTGTCAGAATTCAATCAGCACTGTGACCACAAAATAATTTCAACTTATGTTTAGAAGAATAACAAAGGCTCCTTTTTTAAGAAAGAGAACTAGCCATGACCAGTGTCTCTCAGTGGTTGGAGCATCACCCTGAGCACCAAAGGGCTACAGGTTCGATTCTAGGTCTAAGGGCAGATACCTGGGCTGCAGGTTCACTCCCTACCCAGTCCCCCACCCCCTGTTGGGGCACATGCATGTGTCTCTCTCACATAGATGCTTCTCTCTCTTCCTCCCTCCCTCACACTCTCTCTGAAAAGTAATGGGAAAAGTATCCTCAGGTGAGGATTTAAAGAGAAAGATGAGAGAGAGAGAGAGAGAGAGAGAGAGAGAGAGAGAACTATATAGAGTCTCTTCAAGGAGAAAAGAAAGGAACTTTTTTTCTCAAAATTAGAGATGACATATGCCAAGTTTTACGATTACTATTGCCATTAAAGTCGCCTGAAAATGCACATTGACTAGATTGATGAGATTGATGACCCTTTTTAAAAAACAAACAAAACACTTTATATTTGAAAGTCACAGAACTTAGTTTGGAGAAAATGTTAGGGGAAAAACATGCTATAATGCAAATTTCCACATGATTTACCCAGAAGGTAAGTAACTTCACAGTGTGAAAACAATTTCAGGGTTTGACTGATAACTGTGTTAGAAAGTACTAGGCAACTGATCCTGTCACCTGTGTTCCTTGAACTAGTGCAATCGTCACTTTAACACTAAAACTGAGCACTTGGCGTTACAAACGGAATAAATGAGGACTGAAAACATGCTCACCACGGGTTGTAATGGGGCACCGGGCATCATGGCATTGGCTAGTTGCATTTGCTGGGCCAACATGGCCATGTTCTTCTGCTGAATCAAGTTATTGCGCCCATTTATCTCCAACTGTGTTTTTAAATGTGGGAGTGGGTGCAGATATTTGCAGTTCTCCCTGGAGCAACGACCCTAAAAAACAAAAGCAGAAACTATCTTAAAAAAAGAGTAAAATTACCAAATCTTAAAAAATAATAATAATGCAAACCTATCACTTGAATCTACCATGCACACAATGTATTGCCCACATCATTTTATAATACGTTTAGAATAAGTAATGAATTCACCCAAATGCATTACGAAAATGAGGTATTCAGACATTTGAAAAGATTTTAAAGCTTAAAGAAGTTTTTTTTTAATTTTAATATTAGCTCTATTGTATCAAGATCCCAGTTTAAAAACCTACAAATTGCCAAGATAATATTAAAATATAGAATATCAAATAAAGAATATTAGGCTCCTTCCATAATATCTTCTGGTTAACTTTAATGAACCCCAAAGAATCATGAAGTTTTACTCTCTATTTTTACTTGTACTGAGTTCCAAGGAAATGAACTTAGAGGACTCAAGGCACACTGTATTTTCAGTAAAACACCTTTACAAGTATTTCATAACAAATAAAATTTTAATTACTGCTAAGCTTTAAAAGGCCATGTACCAAGATATTTAGAGATAGAGAGAAGAAAATTCTCATATGTGACCACTGTATACAGAGATTAGTAAGTACAATGAAACATTGGGGAAAAAATATAGCCTTTACCCTTTCAAAGATAAGTGCAGTCTCCAATGCCCAAGCACCATAAATCAATCAGAAATAAACACATTTACCCACCAAAAAAATTTACAATGTAAAATGGAGAAACACAATAAGGTACTATTAAAATAAGAAATGTGCATATACCATCCTTTTGATGATTCTTTTTATCAAAATATATCTATTAAAGTCTGTCATATGTAATGCTGTATGAGGGAGTGTACCCATATTATTTCAATGTATTGTCAAGTCCTACTGTTAGTAACAGATCTCATCAATTGCTACCTTGATAACTTCTTTTATCAATCATTCTAATTAGAACTGTTTTGAGGGTAAAAGAAAGATTTAATTGAAGGCACCAACCACCTTCTTGAGCTTTATTTGAACTTCCTGAGGAAAATTTATCTCCCATAATTTGACCTTTCACTGTAAATTGACACAAAACTGATGCTTATGTTTGTGATAAAAGCTGTCAATTCTAATTTGAATGATCTATTTCTAGCTTGTTTAGATGAAGGTGTTTAGGAATAAGTTTCTATGAAGAGTGACTATCTTAGGACACTGCCTGTTACTTTAACAAGCTCTATGTAACAAAGCATTACTAATTGAATTTGAGATCAGACAGCAGTAGAGGACAGTAGTTGATAGCAAGAACCATACAGGTCTGAAGACCTGGGGTAGAGGCCCAGCTCTCACTCATCAGCTGTCTGAACTGCATAAAAAAACTAACTTCCATAAGCCTCAGGCTTTTTATCCATTTCAAAATTGCTACCTAACCTTCACCAGAGTTTTATTATGAAGATTAAAGCAGCTAATGTATAGTCATGCTCTTGACACTCACTGCATGCCCCTCTCTGAGCGAGGTAAAGGTCTGAAGCTGCTATTACCATCCCTTCCACCACATTTTTAAATTGCATATCAAACAAACAAAAAACAACCTTTTGACATGAAGATAATTATTATGGTTATTGATATGGTCACAAATAAAGTAAGATTTAGATATCTATAACTTGTTCCATAGGAAGTTGTCATGCTTGATATCTGTTGAGGTCATGAGCATGTTATTAGCTTAAAAGCATCTGGATACAAAACACCTTTTACAAAAACAGCACTTAGAGTCCCAGGGAAGGACTGGCCAACAGAAATAAGCTCAAGGATGATGGACAGTCTGACTTCAGGGTCATTCAGTTGGAGTCTCCTAGAGAAAACCGGCCTTTTCCATACAAAGAACCACCTGGCCCGAAGAGCAATCCGGGTTCTCAGTATCTCCACGTCATCATTCTCACTAAGATTGGACTTCGTTAAGCGCAGACAAGCAGGGGTATATCCATCCTGTGGATTCAGTTACCGTCAATGCACTCAGCTCGGTTTCCATAGTTTCATAAACAGTACACAGGTAGCCCTGAGCACGGAACCAGGCCTTGCCAAGGCTAACAGCGGTCTTGCTAAGGACTTCATTCGAGTGCCTCCCCTTAACACAAACCACCCGGCCTCCTACCTGTGAGCACAGCCCAGGCTGAAATAATGAAGGAGATAAACACAATTTGTCCCCCATACATCCTGTGTCGGGCATCGCAAATCTCTGAATAGAAGCTGAGCCCTTTGGTTTTCTTTCTGTATTTGCTACCTCTACTCAGGAGGGCTACCCTTCTGTGCCCAGCTTGATCTGACGGCATCTGAGCCGCGCTTTCAAAAAGTGATGCTTGGGAAAAGTATACAGACTACAAAGCCTCATCCACAGAGAGCTTGTGGCACTAGGTCTGGGGGGCCCGGTTATTCCGAGAGAGCATAACACACGGCAAAACACAACTCTATAAAGCTACATGAATTTTTCATTGACGCGTGTGGAAAAAATAACACAGTAGCCTCTGCAATTAATATTAGATAAACTTAGCTCCTTAGGAAGTTCAGGACTTGTTTAATGCTGACTGTGCTGCTGAATAATTGTGGTTTGACAAATAAAAAAAAAAGTAAAGAATAACTTAGAATAAACATCCTTTTCTATGGGATTGCCTAACGCCCCAGGGAAAACCACAGGCAGCATACCTTCGGTGGAGAATTAAGGTAAATACGACACTGGTACCTCTTTCTCCAGGTGCAGCTGTCTGGGTTCCCAGCACCCACACCTCAAGAGTCATTTGCAGAATGAATGAAGGGACATGTCTTACAAAATAATGGAAGATGAATTATTCTAACTCTATTCTGGAGACAATAAAGATAACGGGGGGGGGGGGGACTAAATCTAATACCAAACTTTGATTTTGAGTTGCACTAACTTAATGGTGCACTTATTCAGACACCTATAATCTGACTGCACAAGAAAGCTTGCCATGACAAAAGGACCTAAGGTGACATGTTTGGGAGTTTCACCAGGGAAGAAAGAAGATTTGTGTTGAGATGGACACCCTAAAAATCTATACAGTGATAACGTTCTAAAAATCTCATAGCAGAAATTCCATCAGTATCTAGCGCTTACTTATGCAGATCTGTACGGGAGATACTACTCTACATCATCCAGAGACTTGGCCTCAAGACATTAAACTGGGCTGTTTGGATTAATGCAAAATATAAATATCAAGAAGTTGTTTGTTTGTTTGTTTTCAGTTTGAATGCTACAATGCAGTTCCAACAAGTGCCATTTAATTGTACATTTTATCAAACATAGGTTGGTTCAAATAGCAGCTTTGTAACTTACTTGCTGTGTGACCTGTGGAAATTACTTAAGTTCTCTGAGTGGCCAGACCTTTTCAATAGAATAGTAACAATACCATTCACCTCATTGGTGATGTCTGAGGATTGAGCAAGATAGTGGGCCAAGCTCATACATGGCTCCAGGTATAGCAGGATATCAATAACTATTATTTGTCTCTCTTTTCCTAAGTCTCCAGCTAATCACAAGCAGCAGTTGCTTCATTTAGCACCATTCTCTGTTAAAAGTGCTAAAAAAAAAAATTATAATACAAGTAGCACAACACCAGGACAGTGCATGACAACCATCAGTAATATAATATAAGCTTGGCCCTTAATCATCATTCTTGCCAAGTAATATAATATAAGCTTGGCCCTTAATCATCATTCTGTACTTGCCGCACTAAGGAAAAAATGCTATTTTAATACGTTTCTTACAGTGTTAGGTTTCTGCGGTTTGCTTTTGTTGATTGCACTGAAATCTGATTTTCAGTGAGCTATTAGGCTGACTAGCAGGCCGCATTAAAGAGCCTATGCCATCAATACCTTAGACTCCATTCAAGGAGGCTTTTTATAGCTTAACTCAACCCAGATTCCAAAGGCATCGCTGTAATACATGAACTATATATTTTAAGGGAATGGAGGAAGTTCAATAATATTGATCCCGGCTGAGTCCATTTTTCTCTAATAATTTTTCTACATCTATAAATTAGAAATAACCTGTCCAAAAAAGTCAACATTCCCCCCACCCCGTAGTCTTAAAAGCCTGTATATGATGAATAATGGTCATTTGAGAGATCAATTGATCAAGTCCCCAATTTTTGAAGTTACAAACTGCTCCACTATGAATTTAAGGATTTGTTTTTTCATTAGTCTTTGAAATTGGCACAAATTTTGTGATCATAACAAGGAAAGATGTATGTTTAGATTAATTGTTTGAGCTTAAAAATAAGTGCTTTGTTAATTCTTAAACATTATAGTTTAATAAAGTATATTTTAAATAATTATATCCAAGCTTATAGGTAGAGTATATATATCTAAAAATTCTGTGTATGTGATATATATATATTTACATAAATTATAGAATAAACATAAAATGGAATGAAAGATGGTCACTTAGAGATATGAAAAAAACCACGATTTTTACAAGGCATAAAATATTTTTTAATATTTACTTAAGAACTCATTAACAATAAAAAAGAAAACATCTTACTTAGAAGTTGGTGGAACTTAAATTAAAAATAAAACAACCTTAAAATTCTATTTTAAAAATGAAAAAAAAAACCAATTTTCCATTTTTAATTATACTTCCTCCATCTAAAATAAAAGAAACATTGTCATGTATGAGGTCAGAATGTGAGAAGATATCTTATTAAGCTGCCAAAGAGTAACTATGTGGTAGGATTATAATTACTGAGTCATATTTGTGTAGATTCTGGAAATAAAAGGGTAATGAATAGATTGCAGGGGTATGAGCTGATACTCATAAGTCTTTTTCAACTTTCACTGGAAATGCTGGTGTTCTGGTAAGACTGTTCAAACTGCAACCATTTATTTCAATTGTTAAAACAAAATAAACATTTTCTTGGGGACAGCTGAGATGTGCAAGAGTTTTGGTAGCACATTCTGGAGATAGTCATTGCTCAGATATGGGCCAGAAACTCTGGCAAAGGTATTTGGTAGCTTCCTA